TATAAACTATATAAACTATATAAACTATATAAACTATATAAACTATATAAACTATATAAATATCTTAATTTAATTAGTTGTTTAAATCAAGTTATGAAAGCTTATTTTTAGTAAATTGTTATCCTAGTTTATTAATTATCGTAGATAAACGAAATGACCTTGAGAATTTGGTTATTAATTCAATTGATGTACAGTCTACAAACTAATTTGAAAACCTAAGTGAAACAGTTTGGGCAATAAGCAGAGATTAATTCCGGTCACGTTTTCAGTTCGGATTACGCCGCGTGCCCCAATTTTCCCGCGCAAACGACCCAAATATGAATTGGTGTCAACGATTTCTATTTTTTTCCGAAGAAAAATTTAAAAAAAAACACAATTTCAAGGTTAATAAATCTCAGCTGCATGTACATCTACAGATTAAGTAAGAAATTGTATAAAGTTAAGAAATTTCTTTCTTTCCATACAATTTTGTTACACTTTCTATAAATAATATCCCAAGTGATAATCGTAATAAACGGATTGAGGCTTCAATGAAACTCATTCATCGCGTCTGAGAAGTTTAAGGAAATTTTTCCTTATCGCAAAATATTCAAAGATCGCGCCGGACACGCCTATATGACTAGCAATTTGCAAATGCAATTAAATGCAATATTAATAGCAGACGGGCGATAATTGATGTGAGAGATAAATATCTGCAAAGGCCGCAACAACACACAAATCAATGAATCAACGAATTGAACTGGACACGTTTTTCTTTATAATTTAAGTAATAACAATTTCCAAATAATTAAAATAGACGTGGAAATTAATTTACAAGAAAAAAAAAATAATCTCTACTTATCTCCGTCGTCTTCGATGGCCTTGAAGTTGTCCGCGATGACCTCGTAGATGAAGAAGTCTCCTCCTCGAAGGGTTAAAACCAAAATGTGGACGAGCCTCGCCAAGGTGGTGCAACGCAGGATGTACGCGGAGCCCTTGCGTTCCCAAAACATGGGAGGCCCGAAAGCTTGCGAATCGAACATGTAGTACTCGTTTTCCCTCCTCTTCGCGAACGCAACTATCCTTCGCACCTTATTTCGAATGGCGCAAATCACACCAGCTCTATAATAGAAAGCCTCGAAGAAGTAGCGCAAAGCTTTGTACAAATTGAATTTGCGTGGGTGATCCAAGAACATCGTTCCTTCCACCACAGGTTGATAGTGGATCTTGAAATTGAACGGATAAATGGAGCAAGCTTCTATTAGATCATCCATAGACAATTCGTAGTTCTTATCCGCTATATCCTTGATGCATTCAGAGAAGTACGCATCACCATAACGCAAGATGTTGTCCACAACTGAACTGTTCCATTCTCTAAGATCGTAGATTCCGGTCATCCCAATAGCAGTGACGACATTAGCTAAAGTCTGTTTACCGCGATTTTGCACTTTGAATAGCCTTGCAGATTGATGCAAACTTCCAGTCAAAGAATATAAATCGTTGGCGTATTCCACGTCCCAGTTGAACCATTTCGTTTCAGCTTTGCCTCGTGCCTCACCACTAGCTGTCTCTTCGGAAATCCTTGCCCAAGGATTCGTGTGCAAGCACATCCAACTCTCGCGCTCGTGGAAAGGCTTTCCCAACTTCTCCTCTTTAACAGCCTTCAATCTTATGTACTCTTGTATCTGCTGCGAGATGATCAAACTTCTCGGAGCTTTGGACACGTTGATCACTTGGAACGTGTAGAAGGTGTACTTGTTGATGCCGGTTTTCGTCTTTAGGTATTCTCGCATTTTCCGCATGTTCTTAAAGTAAATCCATCCGGCCTTCACTGCCTCCTCCTTATCGTCCGGTCCTTTCAGATTGGCACCGTAACATTGAAAGAGATGCACCGGCCCATCGTTGTTCTCATCTAAATATATCACGTAAGTTCCTTCCTCCAACTGCACTATACAAAACTTCCTCTTTCTCGTCACGTAATTCAAAGCTTAAAAATCAATCAATTAATTTACACTAATATAACAAACGGTTTTCAATTAACATTACATATTTCCAAGTTCTTGGACTTCTTGTAATCATCAATCTTAATAATGGTTATGATGATGTCGAAGAAGTGCTTTCCGACTAGTATATTTCGGATGGTCCTCTTCCTCGCTACATCCAAGTTATCGGCGTGGACGTAAACGTTGTTACCAATATCGAAGACTCTATTAACTGTTTTGGTGTCCCAAGCGATTATGGGTTTGTTGATGACCATGAGACAAGCCGCTATGCAGACGAAATGATCCTCCATGAGTTCCACTTGATTAAGACCCGGACTCGCCAAAGATTTAGTCCCCTCGATCACCTGATAGTAACCCTTCGAAGTATACCCAATGATATTTTGAGGTTCGCCTTCCTCCTCATCAGAGGGTTTCTTATCCTTTTTAATTTCATCCTCGCCTTCCTCCTCACCATTATACTCTTCAATATCATCTTCTCCCTTCTGCTGAGCCATCATCTCATCGGCAATCTCACGCTCAAGACGCGCCAAAGTCTTATCCCGATCCGGATACACTCTTGAAGCCTTGCATCTGCTCAAGATGAATCTAGTGTACTCCACCTTTTCAACCACTTCCCTCTTGTTTTTGTTGAAGAAAATCCTGATGCAAAGATCGTGCATGTTCCTGAACCTGGCAAGACAGGCGTGTCCGTTCGGGCCATCATCCAAACCCAACTCGTTGCAAGCGAATGGATCGAAGAGGTAGAACAGACCGTTCCTCTGGAAGGCAGCGCAAGCGTACATCTCGGTAATAATGATCGCCCATTCCCTTTCGTTTAACAACAACTTTTTTAAAGCGGATTTCATCACCGAAACCTTCATCGGAGCGTCGAAAACGTACTCGACCTCTATCGCATAATCTGTGTGTCCCAAAGACACCTTCGGTATATCCAATCGGGCCAACTGCTCGAACTTGAATTTAGCCTTCTTGTATAGTTGGTGACCGGCGGTGAGGATGAAATCTAGGACATCCGTGGACCAAGTCCTTAGCGCGTACTTTTCACCAACTGCCGAAGACATCGCGCACATAAACGGAGCAATATACTCAACTTCAGCACCGAAATCAGCAACTTTTTTGGTAGCCCTAACCAGTTGAGATCCATCTGGTAAATCAACAAAGTTCGAAGGTCGTTTCAACTCTAGTGATTGTGTTTCCTTTAGAATTTTCTCAGTTTCAGCTTCGCTCAATTTCACTGGTAACGGAGTGGTAACAAACACAGGTTTAGCCAAAGTCAACATCCTGAACTCCAATTCAGACTTATCATTCTCTTGCACCCGTTTGGATAAGTTATTCACAAGCTTCGTAGTGAGCGAATCCAAATCTTTGAATCGCATCAAACACGCGTTTCCGGGATCTTCATTTTCCATAACATTTCCATCACTGTTGCAGTTGAAAGGCTCAAACAGATAGAAGAGGTTTTTCTTGAAGAACACGGCGCACGCATAGTAAGGCATTATTACGAAACCGCAGTCTTCCTTATTGAAGACGTGCATCTCGAGAAACTGTTCCAGCACCTTCAACCCGGAGAATATATCGAAAAGTCCATCGCCTATATACGTGTTGAAGATCAGATCAACAGTGGCAAAGAGCGTGTTCTTCTTCAACTCGAATTTGAAGTCCTCGATGCGTATGAAGCTAGTTTTGTATTGTCCGTAGAGTTCTTTACCAGCTTGAAGAACGAAATCCACTGTTTTCGAATCCCAACGATGCAGAGGCACCTCAAGAGCGTAGGCGCTTGCCATGATGCAGCAGTAAGGTACCAAAAGATTAATATTTATGCTACCAGCTACGTTGATTGCGTTGGTTTTTCCATGCAATATTTGCAAATCATCACCCATCTGCACGTAATTACGTCGCTTCTCGTACTCCTCTTTCTGATCATCCTCATCGATGACAATCTCTCGGTCTTCCGCAGTTTTGATTGGCAACTCAAGGGCAGGAAGTATCTTGTAGCAGTACGTCAAATCGGTGTTGATCTGCAATTCAAATTAATTTATTAATTCTTTACCTTTAATTTCTTCGATGATCTTACAAAATGGGTCGTGTAACAAGGATCCAATTCACCGGAAGTAACTTGAGACATAACAGCGTATCTGCTACCATCATCGCTGCCTCCTTCACCCTCTCCTTCACCCAAACCTCGTACAATGTAACGACCTATGTCTCCCTCACCTTCGCCCGTATCTTGCAACTCCTTCTCCTCTTCAGTCAACGCGTAAGCATCCAAATCATCGATATCAATCTCCTCTTCATCGTCAGGCGACGGTTTCCGAGGAACAATCTAAGAAAAAAAATATTAATCTATTAACATTAAGATTTTTGAAATATAGGACCTGTGTATCAGAAAGACTAGGCGAGTCAAGATCAACTACGATTTCATCTTCGGATTTCCTTGGTTGGATCTTCGGCAAAAATTTCAATTTGGCTTCCAGAGGCTGCAAGACGTAACTGTTCAAACTCCCAATATTCGAACCAATTTCTATGATACTGGAATGCACAGGCGCCCCAGCCAAGAGCTTCTTCAAAGCGTGCTGATTGCAATCCGCATGTATAGGTTTCTCGATAGCCTTCTTCTTGCTCTTCCTCACTTTGTGCTTCTTGAAGCACTCGAGGGGGATCTCGTGCATCGGCACCGTTTTCGGAAAGATCCTATTGTAATCGGGATCTCGGTTGATCTTCAACACTTTGAGCGCGTGCAGATAAAAAACGGCTTCGTGATTCTCGAAGTTCATCAGAACAGTTTCCACCAGCGTTTCCAGATCTTTGTTCATCGAGACGATGGCAGTGCCGACGCGGCATTTCAGACCCTCCTTGTTTCGGTTGTATGGGTCGAAGAGGTAAAACATATCGCGTTGTTTCCAGATGGCGATGTAACATTTACCGATCTGCACGATAGCGTGGGAGTTCTTCTCGAAGAAGGATGTGAGATGTTCTTGGAACATGCACGTTCCTTTCTTGAACATGAAATCTGCAAAGCGATTGGTGTAGATATGTACTTCGATAATGTATGGTCCGACGGTGAAAACGGCCGGAAGATGATCCAAGCAAAGATCACAGCAACATTCGACTTCCATGCAGAGATTATGCAATTGATCGCCGATCAAAAGGATCTTATCGACAGTCTTCTTGTGCCAATTACTAGGTGGCGTTAAACGAGAATACACCAAGGCCACTGTAGACATGGCCAAAGCTTGCTTATTCCTTGTGAATCCGAAGCAGTAATCACCTAGTTCGTAGGTTCCTTGCACCACAGCTTTACGTTCATTGATAATAACGTAAGTGTGCAGATCTTTCTGGTAAGGAACAATTTCTTTCTCGTCTTTATCGCACACCTTCAACAAGCGTATCTGACAGATGTTGAAGCGACAATTCTCCAATTTAGTGCGATTCAGCAGCATCGATATTAAACCCTTAAGTTTAGGTATATTAGCCAAAACCGCTTTACCGTTAGGATCTTCATATAAATTCGCTTTTCGAGCTTTACCATCAAAAAAGTAAAAGCTCTTTCTCCTCCTCCAAATCAAGCAATCCGAATGCTCCGTACGCAGAATACAAGCGTCGAATTTCAGGAAGAATATGGTCAATCCACGGGTTAAATTATAAATCTTCTTATCCATTGAACGAACCAATCCTTTGATCTCAGGATCCAAGATTTCATATTTAATCTTTTTATCACCTAAAGCAAAACGAGTTAAATCAAATGCCGAATTCGAAGATGGCAATCATTACGGATAATCATGTATTTCTGGATTTCTTCTACACTGATTCTCTTTTTATCTTTCCCCATGTGCAGCTCTCCTATACTTTCCAAGAACAAATTGTTTCCCAATTCGACCACTTCATCGACGTTTCTTGAGTTCCACAGCTTCGGTCGAAAGAGTTGCGAGTAGCAGAAAGCTGCTACCGGCATGCAAATACCCTGATTATCTCTGCTAATCTTCAAGAAGCTGATATCGGCTACAAGATTTAGTTAAATGAACATTTTTCAATGTAACTTAAAGTAAATAGTAACCTTGATGCAGAGTCCCTATGGTCGCCTTGTAGCTGAAATCATCCACGGTGCGTTGCTTGATTTTAGTAAAGGAATGATTCTCCAGAGACCCTTTCTTGAACTTCTTCGCCGCCTTCTCCAAATGCGCGTCCCTAATAGTTTGCACCAATCTACTAGTTACAGGTAGGTCGCACCAGCTCACATCGTCAAAGTGCAGGAGATCTTTATCATTTACTGAAGTTGCCGATGATGCCTATGGCAATTATATCATAGTTTTAATATTTTATTCTTTAAGAAGAATTATAATAAACAAGTGGCAACGTTGCAAGGAGCGCCATCTTACGTTTCAATATTAAAGCAAAACTTACGTTAGAGATGATCTCTCCGTATTTTCCCAAAATAACGTTATCAGACATGTGAGTGCTTTTGTTTTCCATGAGGATGCTCGGAACGTAACCTTCTCCATGACTTTGGAACCAGTTCATCTCTTCCTCGATCATGATCTGCTCTTGGATCAACTCTACAAATTATCTATTATTTCCCTCATTAAATCATCAACTATATTAATTCATAAATACGCTGTTCCTGCTCTGCCAGCTTCTTTTTCTTCTTCTTTTTGACTTCTCCATCTTCGTCGTCGCTTCCCTCTTTCTCTTCGTTGATGAAAACGCCGCTCTTCGGCTTGTGAGCTGCCAAAATCGAATCGGTCTGAGGAGGCGGATAGGTGGCACTAGGTGAAACAAACGAAGGTCTCTCTGGAACCACCTTGGCCCTGCTCACTTCCGGCGACGTGAACTCCACCTTTTCCGTAATCGAGGATAATATGGTTGGACTCGGAACCTTGACCACCCCGTAATGACAGAAGTTCTTATCCTCCAACAGTTTTCTCTCCCGTTCCACCTTCATCTTCCTGAATCCGGGCAGATGCGGAGGGTAGTACTTAGTCCCGGGAGCTCCAAGGTACGGCAACCCATATTGCAGCCGAGTGCTGACCGAAGGTTCGATCAGCTCCACCTTCATGGGCGGCTCAACAACCTTTATCTTCAACCTCTTGTTAGCATCACGATTATGAGGTAAAACCGGATCATCTTTCAACTCGCACACGTGCTCCTCACTAGTACAACTCAACAGATCACACACTTGACACATAATCATTACTTTACCTGGCTTTATCCAATTCGGTGAACGAGTACTTGGTCTTGAACGTCTCCTGAATTCCTGTCTGCTCATCGAAAGTATTCCTGCAATCATCACCAAAACGAAATTAAGCGAAACCAATACAAAAATTGAATGAATTTCAGTTACGCGATGTCGAAAGCGTTCGTGATCTTCTTCTGGGTACCCATTTTCTTCGCTGAAAATAAATTTGCTTCAAACGAGAAATTTTGATGCGCTCGAAATTTTGACACATTGAAATCAATTAAAGCCGCATCGCTTTGCCCGTGGAAAAACAAAAAACAGTCAAATTACACTTCAAAATTCTTCGGTGAAACCTAAATTTTAGTTAATTTATTATGGCGTAAGATTTAGGTTTTTTTTTGTTTTGCTACATTTATTGATTTGTTTTTGTTTGCAGAATTAGGAGGAAGAAGAAGCAGAGGCCAAAGGTGGAAATTGTGTATCCGCCTTTAACAACGAAGACATGGATTCCACCTGATCAGAGGAAGAGGAAGAAGCGAAAGCCCAAATGGGTGAAACCTCCAGAACTTACGTTGAAGTTGGACGTTTCCAATCTGAAGAAGATTTGGCACGCGTACAGGCTCATAGCTGGATGCGGAGTCTTGTACGGACATTATGGGCAGACGCATTGCAAATTTCTGTACACTACCAATGGTCTTCAAGGACCGGCCAACTGTGTTATAGCTATTCTATTCTCGAAGATCTCCAAATGTCCTCACTGGGACGCTTACACTTTGGACGAGATTCTTAACGTGGGTGATCGATATTTCGCGGAGAGCAAGAAGTTCCACAAATGCAAGAAACTGTTGCATATTTGTGACCTCAATCGAGATCTGTACATTTACGAGCACAAGATTACCATAGACTTTAAAGGTAAAAGGTATAAGGGTTGGGTGCAGGTGGATCTCAAGGAGAAGGAAAACGAAACCTTGAAGCATGTTATACAGGAGTTCTTTGAGAAAAACGAGGCCGGAGTGGTCTGCGTCGGTGAAAGATATTTTGCGATTTGGAAATACGGTAATATTTTTAAATCAAATTTGTGAATATTATATATTTATAATGTAACTATTCCAGAAAAGGGATTCTATCTGTTTGATCCCACCGAGCACGACATTAAATGTTTACCATGGAAAGGTTTGCCTGGTCAAGGTACAAGTTTCTTGATCAGATTCCCGCACACCGATCGTCTGGTGCAAATCTTGGAGATGAACTTGCCCACAGTTAACATTAACTTCGATATTTGCCCGATCTCCATTGAAAGATTGATCAACATCAACACCAATTATCCGCAGTGTCTTGAAGATGCCAATTTGGAAATACTCGATCCTGTACTTTCCAAGAAAGGTTTGTTTTTTTTAGTAATGATTTAATTGATCTTTAATCCAATCATTTAATAGAGGAACCACTACCGCCGGAACCTGAACCGGAACCTCCTGAAGAATTGCCCAGCGATGAATCGGAATACGATTTCGACGAGGACGATGCAGACGAAGGAAAACCTTCCACTCCACCGGATGCTCCCAAACATACCGAGTCACCTAAAGCTGAGTCTCCGAAACCCGGAAGTCCACTCGAAGAGAAGCCTAAAGATGCTAAAGTATCGAAGAAGAAGAAAAAAAACGAAGTCGATCCGAACGCTATAGGACCCATGACCGAATCCCAAGCCAAGATGCACGAGGAGATGCATGGACCTTTAACAGAATCCCAGACTAAATTACAGGAAGAGCATAAGGAAAAAATAGCTAAATCCAAGAATTTACCCGGTCACCTACCAGTAGATTCCGCGTATAGAATTAAAAACTTGAGGAATCCAGAGTTTGGCCCGTTGACAGAATCTCAGATAGTCCTCCCAAAGACCAAGAAAAAGAAGCTTGTGGATAAACCGATTGCTGATGATCTAACCTTCTACACATGTACGACTATTTAGTTTGCTTTATTTTTTAAATAATATTTTTTTATAGATGTGGAGCCTCACATAATTGGGATTTTGATGGCGGATTTGCATCAGGATGAGGATGAATTTGAGATATGCAGAGGAAAATTGGATTTACCTAATGCTTTGGCCGCTCTGACGATGCTGAGGGAGCACAGGAGCTGCGAATGGACCACGAAGATTGTAAACAGCATCCTGAAATTGGGTTTCAGGATTTGCGTTGAAACTTTGAAGAAGTTGAAACCGTTGAATCCGCCAGTGACGACGAAGAACGTCATCAAAAAAATTGATGTAAACGAGAACGCGTACAGCGTTGTTATTACACAGTACGGAGCGGTGGGAAGGTTGAGTAGTTTGGATGATTCCGTTTTGGATCTTTTACCTGCGTTGAGGGAAGTACTGAGTGATTATGATACTGTCATTGTTAATGGGCCTTTGGTGTTGGGTATCTGGAAGGAAGGGAATAAGTATTATCTATTTGATCCCGTGGAGAGAGATCCGAATGGGAATAAGATTATCAAAGAAATTAGGGTCGGATCGATTTTTGAAGCTGTGGACTTTATTTCGGGGGTAGCGTGCGTGATGTGGTTCAAGGATTTGAAAGATTTGGTGGCGCATTATGTTAAGAACGTGGATAGGCTGCAGAGGCGCGATCAATTCATTCTCTCCACTGTTGAGATTAACAAGTATCAGGTGTTGCCTGAAGACTGGAGGAACTTTGTTGCTATCGACGTGGATAGGTGGCTGCTTCGTGGTAACTTCAGTCAAGCTGATAGACGGTTCAATAGGACTTCAAGGAACACTCAGTGCACGGCAACTGCTGCCATGGCTATAGTTTACGCGCATTTAGTACCTATAGCCGAGTGGACTTCAAATACAATCGATGATGTAAGTTTGTAACTAATTTTGAGTAATTTCGTATTATGTTTTTTTTTCTTCTTTTAGGTCATAACGAAAGGCGATGCTTATTACACAGAATGCATAGAAGCTTTGAAAAAGAAGGAAAAGTTTAAGGAACCAATGCTGCTAGTAGTAGAACTGCTCACCGAGTTTATGGTTGACGAAAAGTTGGTTTGCTTGGACATTGCAGAGTGCCTCATGAATGGCTACATTTCCTGGTCAGAATCTTGCAAAGTCTGCGTTAATTTGCAAAAGGTCTGCTCTAGTTATTATTTGATAATTTATCAATAATTCAGTTAATAATTCAGGGTTTAGCGGAATTCTTCAAAGACAACGATTTCGGTATCTTCACGTGCCGTGGAATTAGCGTCGCTCTTTGGCGTAAAGGCGATACGTTCTTTTACTTTGATTCTCATGATCGCAATCGACAAGGATTCCATACTCGTTAATTATTAATTTAATTATCTTTGATTTTCTTTTAATATATCGTTCGTTGCAGATCATGGAAAAGCTTGTATTCAGAGAATATCAACAACGGAAAAGTTGGCTGAATGCTTGATGGGTAATCTGGCGCCTTCTAAAGTGCACGCTCTTTACAATTTGAGTAGACTGGATGTGGAAACTTTCGATCCTCCGCCTAAGGATGCTCCTTGGGATGAGGATGATTACGTTGACGAGGAGGAGGAGGAAGAGTTGGAGACTGATCCGAGATCTAGGTTCGGGGTGATGAGGCCTTTATACAATTATACGCAGCTAACGAAGAAGAGGGCGATCTTGAGGGCCAAAGTGCATGAAGGCGATGTGATGTTCGGAATTGGTGCGAACAAACACACCATTCCCAATCTGGTGGCGGCAGCTGCTATGGCTAGGTTATTCAATCCTGCGACTTGGGATGTGGAGATGTTGGATGATATCTTTACCGTTGGCACCGGATTGTATGAATCGTCAATGCATCGATACTACAAATCTCAAGCGAGGCGTAACTTGCAGGAAGAGGAGGATGCGGATGATAACGATGATATTACTATAGCAAATTGCGCGGATAATTTCAAGATTGGTGTGAATAAAATTTCGCTAGAGTTTAGGTTCGTCGATGAAGCACCTGTGATGAAAGGCGAACAGTTTAAGGCTAGCATTAAGGCCGCTCTAGAAGAGGAGGGTGAATTTTGCGAGCTCATTTTGCATACCGGACAATACGACGTGGTTATCTGGAAGAATGCTGGGTTGTATTATGTCTTTGATCCTAAAGCTAGAGATACTCACGGAGATGTTTACGGTAAAGCCGATTGGAGTATCATAGTTACACCGGAAGAGCAATCCGAGGAGGAGATTTCGGAATTCGGCGAGGAAGAGCTGTGGGGTATGGAGGAAGAGGAAGAAGAACAGGAAGGTGAAGGCGAAGATACTAAACAAACGTACGATCAAGATATAATCAAGTATTTGGAGAACGAGTGGAAAGAATTGGCTGAGATTCAAGAAGAGGAGGAAATAAAGATACGTTTCAAACATCCACCCGAGTACTGGTTGGAGATGGCCGAAAAAGAGGGTAAAGGATATGTGATGTGGTTCACCAAAATCCGTTGTCTGCTGAAACATCTCTTCAGTAATTTACCTATGAAGGAACGCGATTTGAATTACGTTCTTACCAAAGTGGTCATCACTAATGAACCGGAGGTTAAGGACGTTTACGATCCGGCGTTCGGGCCAAAGGAGGACGGTATTAGTGGCGATTGGCACGACTTCAAGGAGATCGACAGAGGTCAGTGGATTCTACGTGGAACCATACATCAGAAGAATGAACTATTTCCAGAGGGAAATCGTGGAAATCAGTTTGCGGCGAATTGCTTAATTGCTCTAGCGTACGCTTACATTTATGCGCTTCCCAATTTCAATTATCGCACTGTCGATTCAATCCTGAAGTACGGGGATCGTCTCTATACTGTTACCAAGAAGTTGAGAAAATCGGAATTAGCGAAGGTACCGGACGTGCCTTTAACAGAGACGGAAATCGAAGAGGTTGCTCGTAAAGATATTTATGATATTGCAATGTTGCCTAAAAGGTTTTGCATTGGGGATGAGAAGATTACGGCGCACGTGGAGCAGAACTTTTGCACTGGAGAGGTTCATGCGAAGAACGTGGACGAAGAAGTGGACGTGCAGAAGGCTTTGGAGATCTTTTATGAGGATGTCGATAATCAGTTTGCGGTTTTGGAGGCGAAGGAAACTAGTGCTGCGGTTTGGCGCACCAGAAACTTTTACTTTCTGTTCTACCCTCAACAGAAGGGACCCAGAGGGAATGCTTCTGAGAATGGAGTGGCGTGTGTTTTGCGTTTCAGGAGTTTGGAGGTTCTCGCTAAGTGCTTCGTCCGAGGAATGCCTAGGATCGGCAAGAACTTTTTTGGATTGCACAAGGTATCATTCGTGGTGGATAATTGCGCGAAGCCGGCGAGGGAGGAGATGAGGATAGAAAGACCGGCGACTTTGACGGGATATATTAATTTGAGGCCAGGTATTTTCATGATACGAGGTGGCATTCATCAAGATCATCATATATTTGGACGTGGAACGAACGCGCAATGCGCTCCCATTGCACTCGTTTCTTTGGCGATGACCTTGGTCCATAACTGCGAGTATTGGACGAGACCAATCATAGACGAGATCATCTGCATAGGCGACTCGATCTACGGAAACGCTCTGGACAGGTGCGACTTGGATTTCAATCCATGGGAGGAGAAGATGACGATCGCGATGGCTCCGAACGACTTCAAAATTGGCAAGATCAAAGTGAACTGCGAGAGGCGGCACACGGAGCAGCGAGGCATCATCGACATTAAAGATCCGACCATCCTGAACCTGCGCGCCGGTATTTATTCTGAATCGCATTTACAGTTTAGTCGGATCTTAATATATTCGATTTGCAGGAGTCGAGAGGTTCTTCGAGGAGAACAGTTACGGCGTGATTGAGACGGACTTCCTGACTGTGGCTATTTGGGAGATGGAGGATGAGTCGAATTACAATTACATCTACATGTTCGATCCGAATCCGAGGGGTCCCACGGGACAACCGTGGCCCGAGGATGGCGCTGCGTGTGTCATCAAATTCGTGGAACCGAAAGCCATGACCGATCACATCATTTCTCTGCTGGACGCGGATCGGGACGGTCAATTCCTCATCACGCCGGTGGAAATCGTCATCGAGAGAGATGGCAAGAGGAAGAAGACGAAGAAATATGGCCTTCCAAGAGTATTGGTTTTATTATTATTATTATATCTTTAGTTTTCTTATTTGTGTATGGGAATTGCAGAAGCCGGACTCATCTTGCGAGCGGATGAGGAACGATAAGCTGGGTAAATTGGAGTATTATGCGATACCCCACACGGAAATTGATATATTGAGGGGAAGCAAAAGTCAGAACTGGCAGTTGTACAGCCAAAGCTCGAGAGGGAATCAGGACGTTCCCAATTGCATCGTCTCTTACGTTATGGATAAGGTCATTCCGTTGGCCAATTGGAATTGTAAGATCATCGATATGGTGTTGGATGTGGGTGACCAACTGTACAAGGACAGCTACATCATATACAACCCTAAGGATAAGAAGCTGCGTTTGGAGACGCTCATCCGGGATGTCTTGATCAAGGATATCAAAGTGAAGATTTCGGTGGGAGCTCCAGTCTTGACCGCTAAATTCAACGTGCGTCTGCTGAACGAGGCTCTTCAGGCGTGCTTCAACTTGAAGAACTTTTGCATCGTGCTGGTGGAGAAGACTGCCGTTTCGTTGTTCCTCCGAGATGGGCATTTCTACCTCTTCGATCCCACCGATATGGATTTGTCTGGGTGCAGATGCGAACAGGGGACCGCAGCAGTCCTCAGGTTCACCAACCTATCAACAGCTATAGATCAGCTGATCAGTAACCTAAGCGTGTGCAACTTGAGCAACGAAGTCTTCCACATAATAGTGGTAGCCATCAAGGAGATCGAGAAGGTACGTTTTGGGGCTACTCAAGGGGACGCAATCCGCCCCATCCTCGAGTCTAATAAATGCGACAAGTATCTGTACGGCCACTACGGAGGAAAGTGAAGTAACTAACTAATTGTCCTGTTAATTTAAACATTGCGTTTCTTTTTACTTTTTTATTTTCTTTAATAAACATACATTTAAGTACAAACACACTAATGGAAAATATAAACTTAACTTAAGAAACAAATCTTCATAATAATAATAAAATATGCTTAGGTGCTAGTGGACGATGTACTCGAAATAGAAGGCACTTTGTGCATAAAATGAACAACATCCAATTTGCCAAACTACAATATATATAAATAACATTATTTATAATTAATTAAAAAAAAAAGAGAACAAAAATATCGTACATTTGTACATTTTGAGATAAAATCGTTACAATTAAACATATATATATAATATTTATATAAAAAAATATAATAATAATAATAGTAAAAGACGTGATGGCTTTCTAATTTCAGACATGCCTTCAAGGTACAAACAAGTATTATTTCTTACTTTACTTTCTTCTCCTAAGGTTTCCTTTGAAGCGCGCGCTCTCTGATAGATTTTTACGATAAAAAATATTTATTTCTTTAGATTTTGTTAGTAAGTAATAGTTATTAAATTGCGACGATTAAAGTCCTTCAAAGGCCTCAATTTTGGAATGAAAACTATGTTAAGATTAATAAATTTGTTAGAGTAGTTAGACCATCACGAAAAGTATAAAATATAGAGTGTGAGAATGATGATGTTGTTCATCCGGTGCTCTTCTCCTCCTTCTTGTCTTTATCCTCCGACGGGGTGTAGACGATCTCCGCGTACTCTGTTTTATCGTCGTCGTTCCTCACCACCGGCCTCAAATTCTGACTCACCAAATCCAGCTCGGCGTACACAATTCCATCCTTCTCGTCCTTGCACTCATCCAAAGGTATCTTAACCTCATCCGTCTCCATCTTCCTTGCCTCTTCCGCAATCTCCTGTCCAACTTTATCGTTCTTCTTGAAGATGTTCAGCTTCTGCTTGGACAGTTTCAGGATGTTTCTCTTCTCCTTTGGACGAGCGTCCGCACTCTCCGTGTCGCTCCTGCGAAACAATCAATTAAACATCTATAAATATATTTGTCTTTTTATAATCAAATCGAATATAAAAGCGAAATTATAATTGTTTTCACTTCATTATCCTTCTTACGTCGCAAACGCAAATGAAAACGATAATTGCAAAAGTCCCAAGAGCAATAAAATTCGCTTCGTCCTGGCATTCAATTACAACGTTAAAAGCTTTTCTTAAACACATTTCATAAACTGCACCATTATTTTTTTTTCACGTTTTCAGTATATTCACAAATAATTTGTAAGAGTATAATGCATTATTTTCTCGTAGTATTTGACAAGTTTTGACTATTAACAATTGTAAAACTCTATTCAGTTTACTAATCGCGATATTGTTTATAAAGGGTGTCCCAAAATTAACGCAAGATTTGAATTTGCCGCCATTTGAGCAGACTAAAAACTCTGTTTTCTATTTAATTAAAATCTTGCGTTAATTTTGGGACAATCTTTATAAACCTGTGTACTATGAATGCATGAATTTATAGAGAATCAGACAATAATAATTTAATAGATACTCACGACTCGGCCACGTTTCTCGCCTCGGAAGATCCTGGAAAAAAAACAAAAATTAAGATAATATTAATAAAAATGTAAAATTATAAAGAAAAAAAAACGAGAAATTGAAATTTGAGCAGAGTAGAAATAAAGGTAAGTATGTAATAATAATAATAAGACATTTATTTAATCTTTTCGTCATCTCCTTAAAATTAATATATCCATATTTATATATATATTTATATATTTATAATATAAAACAATTTCATTATAATTATATAATATGTTCAAAACTTATATCCTAATAGAATTTTATTTTCTTCTTGTTCTTGTTTCCGTTTCAATTTATACTTATGCTTCTTCCAACCAAATTAATTTATAAGTTCTGCATATATATATATTTTTTTTTAATATATAAACTTCATTATTTAAGTACGTTCGAAATATCGTCTTTCAAGTGCGTACTTATTATATTTTTTTTTATTAATTCTAGCTACAATTTCCAGTTTTTTCTTCGCAAAACAAAGCGAATACAAGAAAACATTAGAAGAGCATTAAAAAAAAGACACGTGTTACATAAATCAAGTGATTACAAAAAAAAACAATCTGAGAGAGAGGAAGAAAGAAACTTAAAAATATATGTAAATAGAATGTCTTGTGTATTGTTATTTATGTACGTGAAAATTGGCGAAATTTGAGCAAGTTTAAGTGTGCATTTTTTTTGTTGTTAAATTGATTAATTATTATTATTATTATAATAAATATATGTTTGATTTTTTGTTTGTTTTGTTTATGTTTGTTTGTTGTTTCCTTCGCTTATGGCAGTATTTGCGATGACGAACTTATTCTAAAGTCGAAGGAAAAAAATGTTACCGAGTCGTGAATCGTTTGGTTCGATTATATATAAATTAAAAAAAA